TTGAGGCTAGTAAAAACGGTCGGATACAATCGCCAAAGTTTTGTCTCGTCCCAGATGAGCCGCAAGGCCATTAGCATGTAGTTCACGGATAATATGCTCACGGAGAGACGACCGAGGCACACAAAGAAGGTTGCCCTTAAAAAGGTAACCTTGATGAATGTGGAAATTAGCCACAGGAGTGTCAGATGTACACTTGTGCCAAATCTCAGCAAAGTCTTCATCATCAACGTATTGGGCAGGAAATACATCGAACCCAATGATTTCGGTGCGCAGGACGGTCAACAAATGAGCATGGTGACTAAGGGCATCGGCAACGGTGTTCTGAAACTCAGCCTTGTGGCGGAATACAAAAGTAAACTTCTGTAAATACAACACCCACCGCGCATGCATACGACTCAAGTTCTTCTGGGAATTGATAAACTGTAATGCATGATGGTTGTAGTGCAAAAAAAATTCGTTGAAAATGAGGAAATGTTCCCAATGTTGAAGCGCTCGAATAATAGCAAAAAGTTCCTGCTCATAAGTAGTCCATTTTTGCCGTGCCTCGTTCATTCAATTTTTCACTGAAAAACTCCAAGGGTCGCCCCTCTTGGAGTAGAACCGCGCCAATACCCGACATGCTAGCATCTGTCTCAACCATAAAAACCTTGTCAAAGTTGGGGAGCGCGAGTATAAGGGCTGTCGTCAAGAGGTGCTTGAGAGTGTCAAAGCTTTGGTCTTGCTATGTGGTCCACAGAAACTTACCCTTCTTAAGATAATTAGTAAGAGGGGTAGCAACGGAGCTAAAATTCCGAATAAAACGGTGATAGAATGTTGCAAGCCCATGAAAGCTGCGAAGTTCATGGACGTTCCATGGTGTGGGCCAGTCCTTGATGGCTTATATCTTCGCGGTGTCCACATGAATCCCGTCAGTGCCGATTACGAACCCAAGGAACAAAAGTTGGCTAGTGAGAAATTGGCACTTCTTTAAGTTGAGGTATAATTTGTGAGCTCGCAGGGCAGTAAGGATTTCTTGAAGGTGGTCCAAGTGCTCCGGCTTAGTCCTGCTAAAAACAAGAATGTCATCAAAGTAACAACGGCAAATTTTACAATGAAAGGTTTAAGAACCTCATTCATTAGCCTCATGAAAGTACTAGGGGCGTTGCTGAGACCAAATGGCATAACAAGCCATTCATATAGGCCCTCACGCGTCTTAAACTCCGTCTTCCATTCGTCGCCAGGCTTGATGCGAATTTGATGGTAACCCGATTTGAGATCTAGTTTGGAGAATACCGTGGACCCGTCGAGCTTGTCGATCATGTCCTCGAGACGAGGGATAGGAAATTGGTACTTGACGGTGATCTTGTTAATAGCTATGCTATCGACGCACATTCTCCAGGTACCATCTTTTTTTTGGGACAAGCAAGGCTGGTACAACGCAGGGACTGATACTTGTACGAATGAGCTGCTTCTGCAAAAGGTCATCCACAATGCCTTGGAGGATTTCATGCTCACGGGGGTTCAACCTATAATGGGGTAGGTTGGGAAGACTAGCCCCAGGTTGTAAATCAATTTGATGCTGGATGTCCTGCATCGGGGGAAGCTCCGGAGGGAGATCCGAAGGCATAACATCAGCAAAGTTCGTCAGCATATGCTGGATTTCAGCAGGTAGCTCAGAAAGAACATCAACACTTTCTTTCAAGATGAGGGCCAAAAAGAACCGACTGTCTTTAGCCACTTGTTGGAATTAGGCCGCATTCACAATAAGTAGAACGCCCTTAGTCAAATTAGGAGTGGGTGGTGGTGAGTAAGTTAGAACCAATGGTAGTAAGGCTATTTTACGACCCTTCCAAGGGAAGACATAGGTGTTTTCACGTCCTTTATGTTGCGTAGCCCGGTCAAACTGCCATGGGCGGCCAAGAATAATATGGCATGCGTCCATGTCTAACACATCACACAATACATCCTGATAGCTATTCCTAATTGAAAATGGCACATGACATACCTCAGTTATTTTGGATTCGATTCCCCGTTTGACCTAACTCACATTGTAAGGTTGAGGATGGCGCTCGGTAGTGAGGCCGAGAGCCTTCACCAGAGCCTTTGAGACAATATTCTCTGTGCTACCACTATCTATTATTATTCCTTCACGATACCTCCTAAGGAAAATCCCGAATCGGATCTCAAATTGACGGGTTAGTATGAGCTTATCCATGTAGTTATGCACTCTTCGAATAGGAATCTATTTTCTGAAAGATCCTAGCTTTTGTGCTTTGGTTCACTGTCATCACCTTAAAGGAGCTCCACCTCGCCATAGTCATCGTCAAAGGTTTCATCCTCACACTCATCATCAGTTGGTTGTACTTGTTGGCCCTCGATAAGACCAACTGGGCGTCACGCCAGGCAATTGGTGGATCGATGACCAACCTCATGACAACGAAAACAGCGGTCCGGGTGGGGTTTTGCATACGGGTTGGTGGTTCGGGGGTTACCTGGTGCGGGCTGATTAGTAGGTGGTGGTGCCTTTGCCATCCTTTGGGCCGGTCTCAACTCTCCTATGGACGTTCCAGGTGTATTAAGCTTCAACTTATCCTGGTTAGGTCCTGTAAAAGAGCGTTTACCGTACTGGTGTCTTCCTGATGTTTTGGTTTGTTGGAGCTCCACCCGATAGGCTAGATTCACAGTGTCCATCAAGGACCAAATGGATGTGAGAGCCAAATGGTCCTGTATGGCTTCCTTCAACCTGCCGATATAGCGAGTTACTTGTTACAGCTCATTTTCAGCTAGATCGACTCGGGCACTTAGTCGGTAGAACTCCTCTGTATAGTCGGCGACACTTCGAGCCCGTTGTCGGCACTGCTGAAATTGTTGATACAACATTTGCTCGGAGTCAGCAGGTAGAAAGCGAGCCTTGAGGAGTCTTCTCATTTTCGGCCAAGATCAGATCGGTCGTTTTCCTTCCCTCCTCCGCTTATACTGCAACTGTTCCCACCAAGCGGAAGCTCCTCCTTTGAACTTGTAAGCAACAACCTTAACTCGTTGTTCCTCGGCAATTTCTGAATAGTCAAAAAAATTTTCCACCGTGCGGATCCAATCTAGAAAGTCTTTAATGTGCAGGTGCCCATCGAAATGGGGCAAGTCGATCTTGATCTTAAAATCCCTGGTATCACGTCGAGGTGGGTGGCAGGCTCCTCGACCGAGTCGTCTCTCACCCAAAAGTAGATCCTACACGTCTTCGTCGGTCTCAGAATCCGGGGTAGGAGCTCGACGTGGCTGCACAGGTAATGCGGTCATGTCCGAATCGTCTGAGGAGCTCCTTCGTTCTCGTACAGGTTCAAGTCTCCGTGGGTGGACTGGCTCAACTGCGAGCTATTCGCGAGCTACATCTTGCTCCCTGTCCGGCTGAGCAGGCGGGTTCACCACAGGGCCAGCAACGATTTGGGCCAAGGTTTGGCGCATCTCCTGAGCAAAATCGATGAACCTTTGGTCCAGACCGTTGACAGCCACCCAAAGGGCCTTCACGTCGGGGTCTTCGCCACCGCCGCGGCGACCGCTGCTTTCCACGCCTGACATCGTCACTGGGGCAAACCCTCTAGCTTTGATACCACTTGTGGCGCAACAATCTATTTGGATCGAAGGGAGCCCATACAACTAGAACGTTGTAGGAGCTGAGAAAAACAAAGAAACAATACATATATTTTCTGATGCAAATGGAGGCTGATCCCGTCAGCTATTCCAGCAACATATATATATATATATATACCTCCCCAAAACGCAGGGTTCAGTCAAGCAATATAAATAAAATGACATGCCATAAATTAATAAAAGTGCTTGGGCCCAGCCACCTAGTGGTGATAACCAGGTCTCATTCAACGGTAATAAAAGAAACAATACGACAATAAAATTATAGTGGACCAAACGACAAATGGCAAGTGACCCTCAGAGCTACATCATTATGTTTTCAAACTTCTTTGGATGTTTGGTAATTGGTATGTTTTGAAACATATATACTTGATAATCTAGTAGTATCATATATATGTGTGTGTTTGATATTTGGATATTTTAATGCGTGTTGGCTATTATGCATGATTTTATATGAAGTAGTTAATTAATATAGTTTTGAATACAATATAAAATTCCACTATTTTCGCTAGTTGGGTCATAAACGAGTCATAAACGTGTTTTTTTCGTGTTGGCCCGTCACGGCACGTTTAGTAATCGTGTTCGCGTGTCGTGTCGTGTTAACCGTATTATTAGCGTTTCGTGTTCGTGTTTGGGTTTCTGACACGTTTATTAATCGTGTCGTGTTCGTGTTCACTATAATCGTGTCGGCCCGAACACGACACACAAACACAAATTATCAGCCCTAGTTCCATAGTACGTACACTGCTACAAAAAAGGATAATAAAAGACAGTAAGGCTTCAAGAAAAAAGTCAGTTTTTAAAAAAAACTATTGTTAAATATACTAAAAAAAACCACCAAAGGCATGGTCCCATTCACTTTACCGATTCGAGTTTAGAATTCGAGTTTTACTACAGTAAAAAGCTCTCAGAAACAGTCACATTTAACTTTTTTGCACAGTAAAAAGCTCTCACATAAAATCACATCTCAACTCGAATTTTAAACTCGAATCAACGAAACGAACAAGGCCATAATATTTCGTATTTTAATATATTAGTAGTCGGTTGCTAAGAAACCCTTGTTATTTAACAATTTGTGAGCATGGTTAAGCACGCATCTTACTTTATATTTTTAAAGTCGGTTTCTAGGCGCGACTTTAAAAGGAATGAAACAAAGTCGGATAAGATGCGGCCCTCTTTAAAAATTCACGATTTTGTTCTTAATAAATGAGAAGAAAGGCGCGATATGTCAAAGTTTTCAGTCAAAAAAACCAAAGGCAATGGGGTTCAAATATCTTTTCAAATTTCAAGCCGAAAGAATTATCTCATCAAATTGCTATTTCCCATATTTTCAAACTGCATCTATAATTTAAAATAGAATAAAAGTCCCTTAGAATTTTAGAAGATGTTTAGTTGGATGATTTAAACTATGTGATTCGAATTATTTTTAATTTACGTATATTTTTTTAAGAGAAAATACTGTAACAAACCACGAATCATTCGAATCAAGAACGAATCTCTCTACCAAACGTCATCTTTTCCCACCGCTCGTCGAGATTCTATAATGAAATCTGCAATCCCACAACTTCTCTAACCTCGCCGAGATTCTAATCCCTTTCTTCCGAGGTCTCTAGAACCGCCTCATCGGAAACCTAGTCGGTTCCTATCAATGCTTCGAGAAATCGGCCAGGTATAAACCAAAGGTTTTAATTTTTCTATATATATATATATGTATGTATATTGTGTTTCCTTTAGTTTAGTGATTGGGAAATTGTATTGCTTTTGTACAGAAATTTTGGAATTAGGATTCGGCATGAGATTTGGAGGCCTTGTATGTTGTAGCTTACGAAATTAGGATTCTCGCCGAGAATTTAAGCTTCAAAAAAATTATTTATTTGTTTATTTGAAGGATTTGGAAAATGATTGAGCAGTGCTGTTTTGTTTTTGGTTGTTAAGGCTGATAGGGAATTGGCTTCAAATGGCAAAACTCCTGAGAAATTGAAGGCTGCTGGTTCTTTTCCCATCGAAGTCTAAAGTCTTAGGGTTCTTGCTGTATGTTTCTTTCATTGGGCTTTGTTTCTATGTATATGCTTCATTTTCTCTATTCCGATTTTTTTATTTGTTTGGAAGAAACCCTAATGCCACCATCGCTCCTAACCAGAGTGTTGCCCGTGCCCAGGTACGACCTTTGTTTAGAAAGCTAAAGCTTTAGTTTTCAGTCCATGAACTAACACAAAGATGGAGTTTTGTTTCACTGTTTAAATCAAGCATTACTGCACACTGTTCAAATGAGAAGAGAGAAAAAGAAGCAGGTAGCTTTTTAGTTTCATGCATTCCAAGGACAATTTTTTATGCCTTATATTACAGATAGAGCTTTATGCTTTTGCCAAGACCTTTTTTTTTTTTTTCCTTTCAACTTATATATGTTTTAGCTCTCAATTTTGTCAATGCTATGAAAGTTGAATTTCTCTAACCCCTTTTTGGTAACTAAGTATTTGCAGTCTGCTTTTCATGCTTTCGATGGATAAAAATTTTGATGTTTATAATGTATTGCAGATAGGAGCTCTTGATCTATTTGAGGTGGAATGCAATTGCAGAATCATTTTATTATTCAGTCTTCGCAACTACTTTTCTCCACTTGAATGAAAATGATATTTTCATTTTTCAAGCACTCTATCATCCTGAATTAAGAGAGAGTTTTGATTAATGTCAAAACCATTAATTTTGTTATAAGGCTCTTTCTCTCTGTTTCTGTTTCTACAAGTTGATCAGCAGCGTGAACAGCCATTGGTGGCCATTGAATTCCATGACAATGTTGCAAGTTCAAACAAAATTTCATTTCCTATATAAGGAAAAAAAGAGATAGTCAATAGTGATTGCTTGAGTTTATTTATCCTCTTGCTGTTTCTGTCAATTAAGTTTCAGGGTAGTGTACTTTCAACCAGAAGCAATTTAAGATCACCCTTCAATGGGATGGGGTCTGGACCCGCATAACAGCACAAGATAAACATGAGACATGGTAGGCGGTTAATAATATTGTAGGGGTCATGGAATGAAGAACTTGTTGAAGTCTGCATATGAACTTGACAATGTATTGGATAACTGTCATGCCGAAGCAATGCGAACAGCCTGAAACATTTGACTGCAGAACTTGCTAGAAGTAGTCAGTATTTAGATGTGATAGCTGTTCAAAGTGGCTGTTGCTATTGTTGTATTTACTCTTTGCTTTTGGTTAGGTGCCAGGATGGTTTATTTATTTATTTTTAATCTATTCCATCTTTTGCCTAAAACTTATGACTGCTTAATTCGCAGTTCGTATACTGATAACTCTATTTTTGCTAGAAGTAGTCAATATTTAGATGTGATAACTCTATTTTTGTGCATTTAAAGTGCCTATTTTTTGAGATTTTTAGCTTATTTTATATTATTTTACTTTATTTTAAATTTTAATGAATACTTTTCATTTTAGATTTATTTTATTTTAGTCTATTTAATTTAGTTTTAGTAATTTTTATTTTAGTTTCCCTTTCAAAATAATTAGTTTCCTCATCTATATAATGAATTTGGTGACTGGTGGGCTTAATTGCAAAATTTTGAGCTGAAATGGGGTCAAAATGTAAAGAAACAAATCAGAAATCGAAAATAGAATTTGGACCAAACAAAGCCCAATCTGCAGAGTAATAAAATATGCCAAAGTCGCTTTTGTAGCCGTCCGATCCGCACCACCAACGGACCCGATCGCGTGTGCGCAGCACCTCCCAGAAATGCCAGTTCAAGCAGACGAAGAAGCAGGGAACAGCCAATCAGCACGCGCCACGTAGCGTCATTGTAATCTCCAGCTCCCCATGCTCGCGTGCAGGCGCCCTCACTGAGATTCTTGTGCACCCTTTCTTCATTGTGTTGCACGCGGCCACGTCGCCATGTTTCTCCTATTCCCAACTGGAATTCGCCATGTGGTGCATTCACTCAGAGCCCGCTTTGTCTTATTTCTTTCTCCCATTTGGCGTGAATTAAAGGGGCATTTTTGGGCTTTTTGTGCCCATTCTTCATCAGCTCATGACTTGAGCTCCATGAACCAGCGAGGGAGACCAGAAGGGAGCTTCCAAAGAAAACAGGGAAATGAGGAAGAAAAATAGAAAAAAAAAGTAAAATAAATATTTTTAGATTTAGGATTTATTTCTAGTTTTAGATTTAGGTCTTATTTTCAATAAATCATCATGGGCGAAAGCATTTGGAGATCAAAGAAATAGAAGAGGAGAGGAAGAAGGAGAATTTGGAGATTGTAACAACTCTAAAATGGGTTTTTCTTTCTTATTTTTATCTTTTTATTATTGTGATTTGTGAATGATGGAACCCATGATTTTAGTTTGTTTAATATTAGTTATGTAGTTATATTTAGAGCTTGATTTTGTCGAGTGTTAATTTATTTTAAGTAATTTTTTTTGATTTATTTGTGTTGTCTCATTTTTAATGTCATAATTGAGAAAATTTTAGACTTTAAATAATACAATTTATGTATTTAAGTTAAGAATTTTCTTAGAAAATATTATGCTATATTTTGTGACTGAAAGATTTATGAAATTAACATATGTATTCTTAAATTCTATAGTAGATTTCATGTTAAGTTCATGTTTTACGATCAAGTAATTCGATCGATAAATTTTTTCCGTACTTTAAGGCGGAAGAATTTTCAAAACATATATAGTTTGAGAATCTTAATTTCAAGAATTTTCAAGTACAGCACGATGTTAGTTGTGTATAAAAAACGCTATAACATTTTAAAAGAAGAAAAAAAATTTTAATTGTCGAACAGCTAGGTTGAAGTTACAAGAACAAAACTTATAGTAGAAGGGTACAATGTGAGCTCGAGAGTTGCCACCGTCAGAAACAATGTCATTCCCGGGATATAATGCAGAAAATTAAGTTTAGAATTTGTTTAGTCTAGAATAAATTTCAAGACTTGAAACAGTTCAAAATATTGCGCGAGTAAGAATTTAATGTGATATTGAAGTAGTTGGGGATTAATATTAAACTGTAAATAAACAGTAGAAAATAAACCGTCAGAAACTAAAATTTTCTGTCGGCTAAGTTACTTCTTTAGAGACAGTGTAATTTTTATCTATTTTAAAGGGAACTTAAGAGATGAGACAATGATACAATAGTAGGTTAAGATTTAATTGGATTAGATGTGATTTGATGGGGTAGGTAAAGAGTAATCATGATATTCTTTTCCTCTCATTTCCTTCACTTGGCCGGCCATGTTTAAGAGAATTGAACCCATATTTAGTTAATTGAGTTAAGTAAAACAAGTGTTAAATATAATTGCCCAATTGTTTATAAATAGAACCAATGTAATCTAAGCCTCACTTTTTACTTTATCTTACCTCTTTCTCCATATCCAAAACCAGTTCTACAAAGCTTCAACTTTCAAGTTTTTTAAACTTTTCCCTCACCAAAACCGAGCATTCCCTTACCTCACATATACTCAAAAGTTTCCATACATCTCACCACAAATCCTAGTTTAAGTTGAAGGAGAATAGGAGGATTTCAAAGGTTTTTAAGAGAGAGTTCTTCAAGGGTAATTTCTTAAACTCTCCTCCATTATTTTTCTAGCTAACCTTAAGCTTGAAATTATGGATGTAATTTGTGGTTCCTTTGAGGCTATGGTTGTAATAAGGGTAGTTTTATGTTGGTTTTGTGCGTTTTGAGGTTAATTTGATTAGTATTATGTGGTATGAGTATGCTTGATTTAAGTTTACTTATTTTAGGTTAGATGTAAAATTTACCGGTTACTTTGAACGTGAAAATGAGGATCCTAAAGTAAGATTTTTCAGTTATTCTAAGTTTGAACTTATATTTCTCGATGTTTTGAACGTTTTTCTAGTGATTGTGAATAAACTCAGTTTTAACTCTAAATGCAAGTTTTAAGCCATTTTCAAAAATGCCGTAATGATGTCCAAAACATCTTCAAAAACAAAAAAAAAAAAAAAAAAAAAAAAAAAAAAAAACCCCCCAGCCACTATGGCAGCCAAATGAGGCCTTTAGAGGCCGAATCTCAGCTTTATCAAAAATGATGATTTTAGATCCCGACGAGACGAAGAATTCTCGTAAAGAACAGATTTTCAAAATCTGACTCTAAGATATAGTAAAATGTAGATTTCTGAAACTGTATAGTTTTAATCGGACAAAACTGAAATAGTTTTGGTTTTTAACAAAAGTTTATTAAATAACCCAAGATGTGATTTCAGTAAAATACTATGGTTTTAGGCATCACTTTAACGAAGAATAGTCATGAAGAAAGATTTCAAAAAAAAAAAAAAAAGGGGGGGGGGAAAAAAGGGGTTTCTACAATATAGTTTCACGGTGGTTTACAAACTAACCGTAAAATGACTTGTGGAATAGTTTCAAAAGTCGGTATTCAAAAAGAGATTTTATAATGGGATTTTAGTACTTGTAACTAGATAAATGAGTAATTAAAAATCGAATGATAGTTTCTTTTAAAAACTTAATAGTTTTCGAGCAAAACATCCCGACGGACACTTACAAGCCCAATATGTTAGGCCCTTAGAATTTTAAAGATAGATGCGGGTCCAATGCCCGTATTAGTTCAACAACCCCGCTTAAGTCTAAATTTCAACGGTCTAAGAGTTAGAACGCCGTTACTAAGTCTCTAGGCCAAATTGGGCCTTAGTGATATAACAAGTCCAATAAGGTAAATTATGGAGAATAAGTTACTAGCTTGGATAATTGATTTCAATCTAGACATATGTATGTTAAGGGCAATTAAGAAAAATAAGATTTTGAGGATTTAATAAATTGATCATTAAAGTAAATTATCCTTCAATAAAGGAAAGGAATACATGCCTTAAGTAAAGGATTTGATTTCCTTCATAAGTTGCTAAAATAGAATAGCAAACGATAATTAATCTCACACTCTCAAAGGGGTGTTCATTTTCAGAAGTAAGCAAGTAAGAGAATAAGCTGTTTGGCGAAAAGTGGATTCTAGCTCTGTAAATCAGGTAAGTAGGAATCTCACCTACAGTATGAATAGATTTTAAATAAAAGTCACACATGTTATATATACATGTTTATGCTTTATGTATAGTATGTGATGCCATGCCATACTACATACACCTTAATAAGTTAAGAGGAACTTATAAAAATAATCTCAGTTGAGTGTCGTCCCAGCCTCTGAGAGAGAGGTAACTCAGGCTCCGCAAGGGAGAAGAAAAAAAAATAAAGTCCTCTGAGAGGGAGGCATGCAGTTCAGTTATAATCACGGTGTCATTGCGCGCAAGTGGTACGAGCACTCGGACCCATAAGTAAGATGAGATC